ATGCTGACTTTCAAATCGGACATCGTATCCGTCCGTAGGATGTTTCAGACTGGTGTCTGCCTCATTGATACGGAAGCCAACCATCCAACCGTGTTGGCATCCATTTTAAAATAAAGTTAAATAAGCCAGACGAATTTCATTAAAAACGACCTAATTCACTTAAGTTTGGACACAATTTACATGAAGACATGCGTGTATGTACTAAAAAGGAACTTTTTCAGAATTCAAAACAGATCACTTTTCCTACACCATCCGCCATTTTGCTTTTTTGTTTCCACCATTTGATCCAGTGCTAATCAATGCTAATCAAATCAAGAACACCTTCCGCCGAATCTGTAGTACTGCTTCCACCAAATGCCAAGTGATAGTCATACACCTTCCGTCAAAGTCCATAGTGCTAATCAACTTCCAGTACACCTTCCGCCAAATACCATTTAGTCATTTTCAAAGATTCTGCGAAAGGTTCAAGTGCTAATCATTTTTAACATGCATGCTAGCCTTCAGTAAAATAATTATGTTAACAATAACAACCAGTGGTCGGTTCCGCCATCTGCACAGAGACGAGGGTACATGCTACCTTTTGATTGGCCAGATGAATGTCCGGAATCTGGCAAAGCCTCCATTATTTGTCTCTGATTTGCAAGAAAACAGATATCTGGATGGCAAACTGTGTCTAAGCAGCACGGTTAGGACGGATGCGGGCCATTTGATGGTCTGCTTCGGAGATGCCCTAGCGGAAGAAAAAGAGAGAAAGGAAAAAAATGAAATAAAGAGGAAAAAAAAAGGGCACGACAAGGGCCCTTGTCTAAAGTTTTTGTGCGCATACGTCATGATTTGATTTGATGTGATCAATTCTACGGGACAAAACTCCAACACCGTAATTGTCATCATTGAACCCTTGCGTAAATCTAAAGCACATAACACAAAATTTGACCTCATGAGAGAAACCCTAATCTCACCGTCCCAAGGAGACAACAGGAATCTACACCGAAGCTCCGTCGATTACGTCAATACGGACTAAATTGAGGAGGGTCGTAGCCAGAAAGACAAAATCAAAGAAAAAGTACCGTCATCCGTTCGAGCGCCGCACTTGCGGGACAAAAAAACTCTAACCTAAATTACTAGCCGGAGCGGAGGCACTGGATTGCCCTTCCCGAAGCCTACGGTCAGAACGGCAGGCAGAGGGGAGGTAAATCAACGGGCTCGTCGGTGATGTCTGGAAAAGGAGAATTTGTTCTTCGGGTTGATGGAGTAAAGAACTCTGGATGTACATAGTGTGAACTAATAATTGAATGCTCTGCGTGCAGCTTTGATATGTCTGTCCTTTCGGGCAGTTGGCAGCTGAGCAGTGATGACCACACCGTCACTGTAGAAATGCTTCCACCGGACGTCATTATTGGACCGCTCCTTCACACCAGATTTGCAGTGGACCATACCCTGCGCCAAGTCCACATCGTTAAAGTCAAGGTTCTCATTGGAAGTTGGAATGATTGGAGTGCGTTTTTTGCTTTTTGTGGAGGGAGTGCTTAGAGCAATTTTTTAAGAGCATCTCCAGCCGTTGGCCCCTCAGAAGGAGCTAAAAATCGCCTCAAGGGGCACACCGGCGCTAAACCGCGCGCTGGGGGCGTGATGTCCCCCAGTCACGGCGCCCACGTTTTTTGGAAAATTTAAATTACGACACAAATACGGCGCAAATTCAAACCAAACTTCGGCGAGTTCGTTCATATTTAAAAATATTTTACAAAAAGGAAAAAAACTACAAGGCTGCTCCTCGCCGTCTCCCTCGCCGCTCCTCGCCGCCCCGCCCGCCGCCCTTGCAGTTGTACATGCCGAGGAGGCTGTAGAACCGCGTGTAGACGTCGTCGTCGTCATCGTCGTCGTCGTCGCCGCCGCGGCCGCCGTCCCTGCTGCAACCCTCCCTCGGTTGGCGCGGCGGGTTGGATGGTCCGGGGGCGTCCTCATCGTCGTCGCTGTCTAAGATCACGACGCTGTGCTCGTCCTCGCGCCCACGTTTGCGCGCGGCTATCTCATCCAGATGCGGACGCCGGAGCTGCGGGTGCGGCCGCTGACAGGCGTGTCCTGGGGTTCCGGCTTGACGGGGCGGAGGCAGGGAGCGCCGGACGAGCGGCCGGACGAGGAGGAGGACGCCCCAGGCTGCTCCATGCGCCTCGGCGTCCACGAGCTCCCCCGTCGGCGAGAGAAGGACAATGGATCGGGGTACTCCAGCCTCGGCGTGTTGTCGCCCTCGATGTACTCGAGGACGGCCTCTAGCGTGCGGCCGGGCACGCCCCACCATCGGCGCCGCCCCTCGGAGTTGAGACTTCCGGAGGGCACGATGCCGTTCGTGGCCTCGAGCTGTTCGGCGTGGCGGCGGTAGAAGAATGGCTCCCAGAGCGGGCTGTCGGGGACGTACCGCGGCCCTTCCCTCGCCGCCCGCGGCAGGGAGGCATGGATACGCACTATCTCCGCATGCCGCGCCGCCCTGGTGGGCGGTGGTGGCATCGGTACGCCGCCGGCGCTGATTCTCCACGCCCCGGGCACCCGCATGTCCGGCGGGAACGGGTACTCGGCCTCGAAGAGGAGCCGAGCTTCGTCCTCGTGAAGGTGGCGGCGGCCGAAGCCGTTCGCCGCCGCGCCGTCGCCTGGGAAGCGCTCGGCCATGCTTTGAACTGGAGACGGCGAGAGGAGAGGGAGGAAGGGGGAGAAATGGCGCGTCGGCGGTGGAGGCTCTTGGCGTGGCTCCGGCGCGCTGGGGTCGGCTTATATAGCCGGAGGCGCCGCGTACGCGTGGCCTCCCGCGTGTACGCGTGGCGGGCGAGGGGACGCACGTCGTCCGGTCTTCACTGCGCCGCCCGCGAGGCATCAATGGAGGCTGACCGACACGGCAGCGCGCGGCAGCTTTGGCATTGATTCTCCGCGGGAAACGAGGCGATGAGGACGACGAAGCGGCGAGAAGAGAGACGAGTCGCTGGCAAGGAGGGCCCGCGACTCTTTCTTGCCAAAAAGGCTGGCGCCCCCGAGCGCCCCCCAGCGCGCCGGGTTCGGGTTGGGTCCACCGGCACCAATTTCGGCCCGAGCCGACGAAAACTTGGCCCTTGTGGGCGCGACTGGGCCGATTTTTTGGCGCCGGCGGCCGAAAAGTCACCTGGGGGGCTTGTTGGGGGCGCGGCTGGAGATGCTCTAACGGGGAATCTGTCGTATAGACAGTAGGTGCATACGAAAATAACGCACAAACTTAGAGCATCTACAGTCGGGCGCCCTAAATCCGACCCCGTAAATGGTTGCGGACGTGAACGGGCGCGTATGCGGAAGTGACCGGTCACGTCTTAAATATTTGATTATACAATCGGACACCTCAAAGTAAAAACCTCAAAATCAAATTATTACGCGCACTGTAAAACCTAATCTAAGAGAAGCTCGTCCGATTCTGTCGTGGCCATGTCTGGCGGTCGGCTGCGCTTCCCAAAATGTTGTTCCAGTCGCCGCCGCAAGGGCTGCCGCCGCATCCCACGCCTGATGCCTCGCACGACGGGCACACCGTGCCATGATTTCGTTCGACGACGCACATGGTGCGTCGATGGTCTCAGCACGCCAACGGAGGGGTTATGCGTCCGCCATCGCGTTTGAACGCCAGCCGGACCGCACCGCTTCGGGTGAACCAGCAACGGCTGCCCTAGTGCCGGTTCCATGCATCAGTTGGACAGACGCAATGGATTCCCGACGGAAGGAGTCTAAGCGTTGTTGTGCACGGGCCTCCTCCCGTGAGCAGCGGAGCCCAAGACGGACGGCCATCTCCTCCTGGGAGGGCGTGTGGGATGAGCTCGGGTTCGACAGATCTGGAGGTGAAGGACTCGGATCCGTTGCCCGCCATGCCGGAGACCGCCGGAGATGAGCTTGGATAGCGGAGGGGAGTGGAGTGAAGTGGCTAGGGTTTGGTCCGGCGAGGGGATGGGGACGAGTGAAATAGAAAAAGTCGCAAAACGAATGTTGTGAGGAATTGTGAGATTAGGCTACTGGTCAAAGAAAATTTCAAACGGTTAATCGTGCGCGACGAAATTGACAAAATTTGTCCAAAATAGCTCCAAACATGAACACAAAATTGAGCATTTACGGTCGACGAAACTACGAATCGATAGCATGAATGGAACCATAACATCGATGTGTATCTTTTTCGTATAGAGCTTATCTCGAATCGAATCACCATTGTGCAGATTAGAGGGGAGAAGGAAGAAAAGAGATTAGGAAGGAAGTTAGTGGAGTAGAAGAAGAAGCACGTACATCCTTCTCTCGTGCAAGGGGCCATCCATGTGCACTTGTTGTGCCTCAGCTCGGCTGGCTCGATAAAAACTGCCGATCTAAGCGTTCCTAGCAAGACAGACCCAGAGTTGTTTTTTTTAAACATCACTACAGACAGACCCATGAACGCACACACGCATATCCTACCCTATGAGCACCTTTGAAAGACTGAGCCGGCATATCATCTTGAAATTTACGAAGTCACCGTAGGCACCTCGTCGTCGACGGGAACATCTCCTCCCACTAAATGTGCATCGCTGGAAATCCTGAGATAAATTCAGGAATAAATGTGAGCACCAGGATTTGAATCTTGATGGGCTGGGGATACTACAGTCCCTCTAACCATCCAAACACAGGTTGGTTCGCGGCCCAGGGTTGTTTTAAAGTTCCTGCGATGCAGGCCCAACAGTGTGTACGGATAATCAAACAGACCAGATTCTTTTCGTGTGGGTCTGATTGGACCAAATGCAGGCAACCAAGACAGGTCATGTCCTATCGTATGAAGTGCGCTTGGAAAGGAGCCCAATACGTCAGATATGACTACTAGAAATGAGAAGTGCTACGGTTATCGGACAGATATGAGCTAGGGGTGCTTTTTACGTTTTTTTTAAGATAAGGTGGTTGGGCTTGCTCATTGCTCTAGTGGTCCTACGAAGAGGACGAGTTTTACTGTTTGTGACGTTGATCCTTTGACGTTGAAGCCGATGGCGCACTCGTGTACTGCTCCATGGCCACATAACAGAACAGAACGCTTTCTTGCGGCTTGCCTCGCATCTCCTCCACAATCCCTTCATCCTCAACACCCAGGTTGGTGCCGTCTGCTTCTTTTCCTCCATACTCTCCTCTGCAACCTAGATCCGTTCTGCCCATGAAATTTTGTTTGATTTTGGGAACAGAAAAGATTTGCCCTTCTCTTCCTGTAGCTGGTTCACACGATTAACTTGGTCTAGAACACTTTTCCTTCACTCCCTGTCGCTACTTCACTCGATTACCTGTTTTAGATCTTATTGTTTGGTATGGGAAGAAAATATCTATTGTTGAGTTGCCTCAGTTGGACAAGCATCATGTTTTGTTTCATTTCCTCTATACAATTTGAGTTTATTGCAGGTTATGACCAGATCGCTTGGACATCTGCGGAGCAAATTGAGTTTGTACTTTGTAGACCACACACAGGGGTACCGGCTAGTTCTCCAGTAGGTACGGACCTCCTTGCTACGAATTTCTGTTTGAAGTTTTTTTCCATGTCCAGCTGTGTATATTTGCTCCAGGTTGAAACTTTACCTTTGAACGGCAGGAAAATATCTCAGTTTCGCAATTGTGCGTATATACTACTAGTAGTAGTTTTGCTATATACATCTGGTGTATGTCTGAGAAACATTCTGGCATCTTACTTAATTCATATCATGATGTTCAATTTCTGCTTTGCAGGTCACATACAAGGCTACCGGCTAAATCTCCTGTGGGAAAGTAATACTTACTGTGTATTTATGCAGTGCAAGCATGTCTAAAGGAAACTAATTTGTGCTTTCTCTTTTTTCAAGAGCACCGTGCACTTAGAATGGGGGACCGAATTGTCCTGGAGCGCATACTTTCCGGATTTGAGAAACCGACGAACCTCGCATTAGCACTTTTACAGGAGATCACTGAAAATTTCTCTGAAATGAGAAAAATTGGGGAGGGTGGATTTGGGGAGGTTTACAAGGTAAGATTTACCTTTTGAAGAGTACGCAATTAAAGATTTGAAGTAGAGTAAAATATTACTAGTTCCATTAATAAGTGCAATAAGTCTCTGTTTTGGCGTCAGAGGGATGAGAATGACCACATTTAAATGATTGCCAACAGGGTGTGCTCCACAATAGGATTATTGCCGTGAAGAGGATAATTGTGAGCGAACACACAATCGACGACAGGCTATTTGATCGTGAAGTTAAAAATTTGATGAAGATTATTAGCCATCGAAATGTAGTTCGTTTTCTCGGCTTTTGTTCAAATACACATCGTGAGGCGATAAAAGAGGAAGGATCAACAGAATTGGTTTTGGCCCAGATGAGAGAAAGATTACTTTGTTTCGAGTATATCAGCAACAGAAGCCTCGATAAACATATTACCGGTATGACAATGTTACTTTTCATGCAGCTCTTTCTTTACTTAATAATTTTTCTCTTTTATCCTTAAAAAAGCGACTTTTTGCGGTACATCATACTACCCCCAAATTGATGGTGTAGTATTAAGTTAGATCAATGGTTGATATATATCGGCTTAAAATTTGGTCGAAGACAACTTCGTAATTTCCCCGAGGGTAGATTTATGTCCACAAGGGCACGGTCGATTCAGTCTTCCAACCAATCGAGCAGGAAAACGAATATTAATCGATCGCCGTCATATGCCCTCGCCTCCCTAAATATGTGTTTTTGGCTGATTTTCCTGGACATATGGGCTAAATACTAAGGGGTATTTCAG